GGGAGGGTAAAAGGGAAGAGGTGGAAAGTGGTGGGGGGGGGGGGGAATAATTTTTTTGTTGACAATTCGTGTTCAATGAAAAGTGTTAGACCATATCTTTTTTCCTGGTGGTACGTAACGGTACACTGTACCGCACCTTTTTTCAGGCTTCATTTTTCTACTACTACTGTAACAAGAGTTCTGATGATGATGATAACTGTAACAGACACCGTGTGGTGGTCATCGACTGTAGGGGCCTCTCATCAGATAGCTACACTATCTCCTCAACTGCTCTTTAATGATACGTTAGACAGTTTTCAGTCACATTCTTCTTCTAATTTCCTCATTTTTTTTCCTCGTTTAACCTATTCTTGCTATTATGACAGCTCTTATAAGATACATTATCTGACATGATTTTACGGTGACTAGTTCTGTTAAAAAGCCAGTCTGATATGATTTTGCGCTCACTGGTTCTATTAGGAACCCAGGTTGGTGTGATTTTGGACTAGATATATATACTAAGAACCCAGGTTGATATGACTTTGGGCTCTCTAGTTATAGTAAGAACGCAGGTTGATAAGATTTTTTGCTCATTGGTTCAAGTAAGAACGCAGGCTGATATGATTTTGTGCTCATCAGTCACATTAAGAACCCAGGTTGATAGGATTTTGCGCTAACTACTTTGAGTAAGAACGCAGGTTGAAAAGATTTTTTGCTTACTAGTTATAGTGAGAACCCAGGCTGATATGATTTTGTGCTCGCTAGTTATAGTAAGAACCCAGGTTATATGATTGTGTGTTCACTGCTTCTAGTAAGAACCTAGGTTGATTTGATTTTTCGCAGTTTAGGCCTAGTAAGAGCCCAGGTTGATATGATTTTGTGCTCAAAAGTTCTGCATTAAACCAAGGTTGAAATGATTTTGTTCTCACTAGTTCTAGTAAGAACCCAGGCTGATATGATTTTGCGCTCATTAGTTTTAGTAAAAACCCAGGTTGATTTGATTTTGCGCTGTTTGGTCCTAGTAAGAACCCTTTTTGATATGATATTGTGCTTACTGTTTCTAGTAAGTATCCAGGTTGATATAATTTTGGGCTCACTAGTTATAGTAAGAACCCAGGCTATGATTTTGACCCTAATAGATCTAGTAAGAACCCAGGCTGATACGATTTTGCGCTAACTACTTTTGGTAAGATTCCGAGGGAAATTATTTTGTGCTGTTTAGTCCTAGTATGAACCCAGGTAGATATGATTTTCAGCTAATTGGTTCTAGTATGAAAACAGGCAATATGATTTTACGCACACTAGTTCTAGTAAGAACCCAGATTAATATGATTTTGCTCTTAAACATTTTAGTAAGAACCCAGGTTGATTTGATTTTGCACTCATTATTTCTAGTAAGAACCAGGATGATATGATTTTGTGCTCATTATTTCCAGTAAGAAACCAGATTGATACGATTTTCACTCACTTGTTCTAGTAAGAACCAGGTTGATATGATTTTGCAAAAAGAACCAAAATTTGACACCGGTAGCACATATTTGGCAAAAATATCGTTCCTTTTAGATGAGGTTATACTTCTATGTGTCAAAGGGTTTGTTTTTAGCACATTGTGTGTTCACTTGTCTATCAATTCTTTCAGATGATGTGAAAACTGACTCTAGATATTTATTAAATTCACTTCTTTGTTTCATTCTGTGTCATTCGCTTCTACTGGTATAATTGTCGATTGTCTTTTTAAAGTTGCATTTGTCTACCCGATCGTTTTGTCATTCAAGTTCGCCTGAAATAAACTCCGGCGAACCGTTCTGGATGTTCATTAACTTCTAGACTTTAGTATTGTTTCAGAAAAAGAGTTTTGCGTGTGCACGTGTTTTACAACAATTGCTTATTTTATGCAGCCTATTCCTGATCGTAAAGACAGAGTCCTCCTATTCTGAAGGAACCAAAGGTAATTAGTCTGCTTTCACGAGAGGTTCGTCAGGGGGAACAGTGGGTCTGTGCGTTTTCTGCCCCTAAACTGGGCCACAGAACTATCAGGGAAAGTCCAGCCTGACACAGTTAGGCAGAATTTAAACTACATTATCTTCTTCTTCTTAGCGTTTACCAGCTGTAAACTCTGTTCGTCCACTTCTGGATTTCAGCCCTGTTCCAGAATCTGAGTGTTGCGTGTGTATCCGTTTTACAGATCTGACTCATTTGTATGCAGACTGCTGGTTAATTGCCTCTCAGGCATATGCACTCCGACTTCGAAGGAAGCTCCCAATTAGTCTACTTTTACGACATGCTTCATTATTATTACAATAAAAGCCGCGGCAGAGCAGTGTCTAGCACGACTCCTTGCCCGCCTGAAGTACTTGATTTCGAATCTTCATAAATGTGTATTTTTTACCTTCGCCAGTCAAGTCAATCTAACCTTATTGGATAATCAGATAATCTGGTAATCACATTTCCAGAACGGGTCACCCCATAGTTGCTACGTTCCTTTGCCAGTTAAAATTACACAGAATGCCTATCACTGTCTTTTGTGAAAATAACTGACACAAACTGCAGTCTTAGTAAATCCAACAGTGTACACACGCATTAAATGCATAAGGCAGCAGTCAGAAGTGTCAACATAAACACTAGAAATACAGTTCATAGTCGGTGTAGGCAGGAGTTGCAACATATCAGTCGTTGCACACACACACAATTAATCGTATGAGGCATCACACATTCTCTGGCAACAGGCAACTCGCCCTTTTCTGAATCTGCAGTTTACAACATAAACCACTTTGGACTCAGCTGAAAATAATTCCAAAAGAAATCCGCAGCTTACAGTGCAGCGTTCTGCACTCAGCTTAGCAGTTGGGTACTGAACTATATACATTTAGTTTATATAGGGAGGTAACTGCAACAGCTAAGTATTGTCAGAAGCAAACACTTGTAAAGTAAAACAGTAAAGTGCCTAAAGGACATTTAGGACCAGAAGCCTACTGGGTAATAGACGTTGCCCTTAACAAAAAATGTTGCCCACTGAGGGTCGATTGATCTTTAAGTCAGAGCCACATTCCAGCTTGGTAAACAGGTTCCTTTACAAACCTGCAGTTTTTTTTTGGTGGGTTTAGAGACATCTGGCGGGTGCCTTATGCATTTGATACGCGCGCTGTCTGTTAGATTTTGCTGGAGATACTGTCTATTTGACTCTTCCCACGGGACCGAAATGAGTGGCTTTCTCTGGCACAGAAACGGAAGCAAGTATGGCGTGATAGTTTGCGATGAAGTTGGGACCGCGATAAGGAGAACGAACGAACGAACGAACGAACGAACAAACTTTATTTTCAAAGGGTTACAAATTGGGCACGCAGGCCCGTCTGACATTCGGCCCTTCTAAGTACTCATTTTTCAGAGTACTAATACCTGTTATCAATAATGCATGTTATGGATTTAAAAAGAAATATATAATGCATACACACATCGTGTGTACGCCATCATACACACTCACACACACGTATACATACATCTACATTTTCATACAGGTGAACTCATATACAGACATACGTGATACATACACACCTGCATCTACATACATATACAAGCATACACATACACAGAAATAAATGCACAAACAGAAAACACACACACATACATTTATGGATATACATGCACACACGCATTCCATATATACACATCTATACATGCACCCATGCATACACACATATACCATTACATGTACAGACACCAACGTATGCCCAAAACCACACATTTACACTTACATGAATACATACACCCACACACATGCATACATTTATCCACACATTTATACCTAAACTCACATCTTTACACACATACATACATACCTAAATATACTTGTATCACCGGAGATAACCTGATAGACTGCATTTTTAAAATCAGTTCGATGGAAGTAAGTCTAGTAAAAGACCATTATTAAGCACCTAAAAATATGGTGCTACGTCCACATTTTATGAATGTCCCAATCGATATGGTCAATATAACGCAGCCATGATCTCCCGTCCCTGCCTCGTGTCCCAGGACAACATTCAGTACCCAGTTTAAAATGGGCAACCCTGGGAGTAAAAAAACTTTCATAAATATCCGACTAAATGCAGATTCGAACCAAAGACTTTCTGGCGGGACTCGAGCAAGTTCTATGATTCATTTAAGATTTATTTTTACCTCTGAACACTAAGGGCAATAACATATCAAACAATATTGCCACACTTTTTTAAATTGCAGTTATAGTTCCTGATGGCTGTAAAACATTTTGCTTAGTGTATTTTCTGCTACATTTGCAGTCACCCCTGGTTATATCCTTCTGTTTCGTGTAACTTTAAACAGTCCTTACACAATGATCAGCCAGCATCAACCCAGCCGTTTTTACTTCTCATGAAATGGTCTGGACCCACCTGGAAGCCAAGATCAGTTTTGAGGATTGTGGATTGTCAATCACGGTGCCTTTGTGGGACTAATTTTTCGTTACTTTGACGCCTCACCCCGGCTGTTGCCGAGGGCCCTAATATAACCTAACGAATGAACGGGCTTTCTGGGACCTCTCCACGGGTGATCCTCGACTTAATGGTGGCAGTTTGTGTTACTGGGTGTTTATCACTTGATGCTATGTCTTGGGGGAGGGGGGGGGGGTGGTAGAATGTCAGTCAGTCGGATTGTGGAATTTGAGTCCTTGTGGGGTTAAAGTCATCGGTTTTGGTTACCTTGACTAAGATATCATAACATAGGAATGGGACCCTTTTTTTTAAAAAGTCTCATTCCAGCTATGGTTTGGGCCTTAATATAACCTAACGACTGAATGGAGTTTCTGGGACTTGCCCCTGGGCGATTCGTATCCGAATGGTGGCACCTTGTATCACCGGGTCCTGCGGTCCTGATGGAAGGGGGGCGGGGGTTGAACGTCTGTCATTAGGGCAAGCAAAGACCATCAAACTGGTAGCAGAACATCTAGCTACAACGCTACCGAAGCTGCCCAGTACACATTACGTAAACACATAAAAAACGCTCATAGCTACCTGTAACGTGCATTGTATATCCTGACCGATTGTTTTCTTTGGAAACCTGAGGGTAATGTGCCGTGACAGACGCGCTTGGTAGAGACATCCATGTGGCGTCACAGCGAATGTTTCGGTCTTCGGCTTGGCTGTGACCACGAACGTCCCCAGTTTATTGATATCTAGTTCCACATATGGCTTATTATCCGATTCCTGTGAACACAGTAATTATCACAAGTGGAAAGACTGGTCTTTTTCTCTTTAAGCGTTTAAAGCTCGCCCTCAAACTGACGGTTAGCATGTTGGTTTGTGACAAAAGCTAGGCTACTGCTTCTGCGCCTCTAGCCCAACACAACTTGATTATTGCCCATTATTTGATTGGGAAATAAATTTGATTATATAACTCTTTAAAGATCGAAGTAATTTGTTTAAATAAGAGATTTCAAAGTCGAGAGGTTTGACATCATAGCAAAATTTGTATACACCATTTAGCTAAACCTAATGGTGTAGAGGCTAGAAACTTGTTGGTGGATCCGAAAGTCATGGGTTCAAGTCCGAACAGAACAGGAATTTTATTTTCAACATGACCTTGGCGCCCAGGTTGACCCAGCTTTGAGTGGGTACCAAATGAAGTCCTGGAAGAAAACGCGGCCAGCGTTATGTTGATCAGATCACTCAATGAGTGCTGAGTGGTCTATGAAATATAGGTCTAGCCTTGTATGCCAAGTCCTTATGTCATCGGGCCTTCACGTGAAACAAAGAAAAGTGACACTGCACCCTATCAGGCATGTCGTAAGAGGCGACTACGGGTAGGGTTGGGCTTGGGGTTGGCTGCCTCATTCTTTAAAAAAAAACCCCACTAAAACCGACCAACCATGGATAATTCAAAAAGAGGAACAAGTAAAGCCCAGCAAGAAGTTAAAAAGATAGGGAGAATATGGAGAGAGCTCCCTGTAATAGCGAAGGATAGAACGACTTGGAGTGAGTTGGTTGAGGGCCTTTGCTTCTTTGGGGGATAAAAAGGCAGAAGAAGAAGAATGTATGCCTGATGCACCTAAAGGCATGGAAAAGGGTCCTTGCTTTCTTGTTTTGTTTTTTAACTATAGCCCAATACGTTCAAAGGCGTGGAACATGGCTGTTTACTTTACTATATAGCTCAGCCGTCCCTAATACATGGGTAGCTGCCTATCAAATGCACAGAAAAAATCTTAAACACCGTAGCACCGGAAACGATCCCCAGTGATCTCTTGCAGTTTGTACTCAGTTCGTACGGTTCTTGACTTAGATGTTAGCGACTGCGTTTTACAGTTTCATCAATCTAGAGTACTAGAGTTGGATTTCTGCAGCCAATGGTTTCCGTTCTCGTGGCTTTTGAGCAGTAGTAAAAGAATCGCATTGTGCAAGGGACCAGGACATCGTCTTATTCTTCTTCTTCTTTCGTCTCACTGATACCAGGTTGTAGCCCAGTGTCGTGGTTTTGTGTATTTGTCTTGCTCGTCTCGGGGGGTGGGGGGGGGGGGGGGGGGGGGGGGGGGGGGGGGGGGGGGGGGGGGGGGGGGGGGGGGGTGGTGGGTTGGTGTGTCATCTTTCGTGTAGGGTTCACATACACAGTTTATCAATCTCTTTCTCGGCCTTCCTCTCGCCTTCCTCCCAGATTTCTGCTGTTAGTAGTCTCATATAAAATTTGGTCTGGCTGCATTCTCACTAGATGGCTGGATCATTTCATTCTATGTATGTCAATATAATCCACTCATGGTCTGATTCATATTTTCTCCCTAATATTTGTAACCCGGTCTCTTCTTGTGTTGTTAGGACCTTGCAGGGACAGCGCATTTCACATGTTGTTATTTTATGTTTTAGTTCCCTATTCATTGTCCATGTTTGGCACTGATCACATAAAGTAGGGCCAAAGATGTTATTATTCATTTACTGTTTTGCTGGAAGGGAAACGTGTGAATTTATAGGCAGTGGGGCTAACTGGTAGATAGCAGCATTTGCCTTCACTGGAGCATCAGCACATAATTTTCTAAAAATACTGCAATAGGTGTCCTGTTGTCAATCTTCACTGTAGGTGCCCTGTTGCCAATCTTCACTGTAGGTATCCTGTTGCCAATCTTCACTGTAGGTGCCCTGTTGCCAGTCTTTACTGTAGGGGCCCTGTTGCCAATCTTCACTATAGGTGCCCTGTTCCCAATATTCACTATAGGTGCCCTGTTGCCAATCTTCACTGTAGATGCCTTGTTGCCAATCTTCACTGTAGGTTCCCTGTTGCCAATCTTCACGGTAGGTGCCCTGTTGCCAAACTTCACTGTAGGTGCCCTGTTGCCAATCTTCACTGTAGGTGCCCTGTTGCCAATCTTGACTGTAGGTGCCCTGTTGCCAATCTTCACTGTAGGTGCCCTGTTGCCAATCTTGACTGTAGGTGCCCTGTTGTAAATCTTCACTGTAGGTGCCCTGTTGCCAATCTTCACTGTGGGTGCCCTGTTGCCCATCTTCACTATTGCTGCCCTGTTGCCAATCTTCACGGAGGGTGAAGATGTTGCCAATCTTGACTGTAGGTGCCCTGTTGCCAATCTTCACTGTAGGTGCCCTGTTGCCAATCTTTACTGTAGGTGCCCTGTTTGCCATCTGCTTTTTTGGTTGCCCTGTTGCCAATCTTCACCTGTAGGTGCCACTGTTTGCCAATCTTCACTGTAGGTCCCTTTTGTCCAATCTCACGTAGGGCCCTGTTGCCCAATCGTCACTGTAAAGTTGCACTGGTTGCAGTCCTGCACGGTGTGACAGCAATTGTTACAAATTATAAAATTATAAAAAAGTAATTTTAAAAAATTTAAAAAAGAGGAGCTGCACTACTTACCTTTGCGACATGGCCAACATTAACCCATTCAACGTGACCACTCCATTTGACCTTCACGTTAATTTCATTAAAATCATAGTTTACGGGGTGGAATGGTATACAGAAGATCAAGTTGGTCTTCAGAATATGAACAGAAGAGGTAAGTGTGTAGATTTCACTGTTGATGAGTTCGTTAGAGGCCATGTTGCAAGGACAGTTCTGCCACCGTGTCTGTGGAGTGGCTACTCGACATATTAGAGTGTCCCTTTTCTCGAAAGAACCTTCTGGGATGGTTATGCTGGCATCAAATGGAAGAGAGTAAGTACCTTCACGTTTTCCAGGCATAATACTGCTTTTGAAACTGTTAGAGAAAACATGAAATTGTTAATCGTTTACGATCAACTAAACATTTTGTATTCTGGTCGACCCAGCCTTAAATGGTTATCTCAAAAAGTTGATCTATGGGAAGTAAAAACGGCCTGTGTGTGATTGATTACATCACCGCCACCGAGTATGATTGGTCTTTAAAATCCACGAGTCTATCCCTATATACCCACTGACTTCAAATGTTTCCTTTACCACCCCTGACCCCCACCCCCACGTCCCTCACGCCAGCCCCACGCCCCCCTCCCCCACCCCCCCCCACATAAAAAAAAGTTGTACAACCATTTTTTTCCTCTCTTGCTTTAAAGGGCGGTTGACACTTTTTAACAGCTAGGCTGCGAAATCTGTGCCTTTTGGTGCAAACACACCTGATTCCAGCAAAGCTTGAATTTGTAGCCTTTTACGACGAACTGTTTGTAAAAGATCATTTAATCTCCTACCCACCCCCCCCCCCCCACGCCCCAACTTCCAACTTATTTCCTTTCTCCAAACCCTCCGTAGAAAAAAAAAGGCTAACAATTTGGAACCCCAGAACTTTCACAAGGATACTATCAATATAACAAATATATCATCATCATCAACAAGTCAAGTGCCTTGTCGATTATACCTCTCCACAATCTGCTATATTCAATAGCATGCATCGGTTCATATACATATATATGTGTGTGTGCATGTGTTTGTGTGTGTGTGTGTGTGAGAGAGAAAGAGAGAGAGCGCGAGAGAGAGAGAGGGAAAGAGAGAGAGATACAATACATAATAGTGGTATAAAGCAATTATGAACAGCAAAATCTACTTGTGTCAAGGCGACAATGAGCTTCAGCAATAAGAAATGTGCTGTGAGTTGTACTCGTTGTACTCTACCTCATTCGGTACTAACCATCTCTGTATCATGCATTTGTTGGTTTTGACAGACATCATATACTCCTTCTGAAAAATTCCACTGTTACACCAACAAACTCTTCCAAGGAAGACGCTGTGGTGTAGCGGCTAGACGCTCGCCTGTGAACCGAAAAGTTGTGGGTTCGGGTTCTGACGGGACTCAGTTGACGCCCGTAATGTGGCGGTTTACAAACTGCGGTGTGGTATACAGGTAGGCTGTGAAATCTGTGGCTTTCAGACCACTGCCTCCGATTTCAGTCTTAACTAGTGGCCTTTTATAAAATTTGGTTAAATGGTAAATTGGTGTGTTCATTTTCCGCTCAAAATGGGGCCTCTAAAAGAACACTGGGGTACTAAATGATAACGAAACTGTGCACGGACTTGCTTGGTACTGAATGACAGAAGTAAGTAAGTCAAGTATAGGACCCTTCCCACGTCTTCAGGCGTATTGGGCATGTAGACCCGAATTGTATGGACCAATTGGCATTTGGTGGGTGAGGTTCTCAAACATCACACTGGCAACTTTATTTCCCAGGGTACCCCAGGGTACACGGTACCCATTTAAGGCCGGGTCTACCGGGGAGCCAAGATTTTTTTTTTTTTTTTTTTTGAAAAAAAAAAAAATCAATGTCCTGTCAGTTACTACCCGAACACACGAATGAGTGAAGGGTGAAGATCAATATCCTGGTAGTAAGCAGTAAGGGACTCCGTCTACGTCAGTGATGCAACGGAAATACGGTGCAAGAGTCCTATTTTTACAGACTACTCAGTGAGTGGTATGGTCAGCATCTCATCGGCCACCTTTACTTTCTAAAACTTTCCTGTTAAACATTTCAGGCTGGGTCGATCAAGAGCTAGGTTTCATTTTTTTTTTCCAACAAGTTCGGCTGTGGTGCGGATTCGATTTAAACATTATATAAATATCATGTGGAGTAAATCAAAATCACAGAACTCACTTGGATTCCTCTATAAATTTGGGGTGCTCTGACTTGACAGCACTGCTGTGATCGTGATGGTCCATGTCATGTTTCCTGAGAACACAATGTACATTTGATTCTTTAAGTGCACAATAAAATATGCCAAACACTATTTTCATGGCAAACGAAGAAGAAGAATAAGAGGACGGTGGTTCTGTTTTGAGGCGGATTTATCAAGCTGATACGTGTTTGTTTAATTGTGAATCCACCCTGACAAAAGTGCTGTGATGTGTCCCAGGAATGAAGGCATCTGTACTCAAACTCACTCACACTGGACAACAGGTTACTACATAGCCGTTTAGTGGTGTCCCATTGCAGAGATATTCAAAATGATGGATTTCATTCATATATATTTCCTTGAATTTGCATTAACACTAATAATATACATAAAAGAGAGAGGGAAGGGTCTACAGATTACGAACTTGCGATAGAGTTAAAAGATGTTAAAAATGGCCGGTAAACATCTGAGTGGCAGCCGAACTCACCCTACTCACTACAGCTGTGATACGGTTCTGCAGGTCGGCTCGAATTTAGGTAGCGGTGGCATTCAAAAATTTAGACCTTCCACTTTCTCTTATGTGTAAATTATTAAGATATAATGTATATTTAAGAAAGTGTACTCATCGTTTTAAATAACCCTGTATAACGGTCTTAAACGAACTGTCTCGGATCAAGCATGGTCTGATAGCCAACTAAA